GGAGGATTTGAGAGCTGGAGTGTGCTTTAGTACAACATTTTGTAATAAAAGTCCCAACATTTTGCTGTTTGCATTTGTGATGGTACAAATTTGCTTTGCTTTGATTGCGAGGCCATTTCAGACTGAGGCGTTTGCAAGCTGAATCTGTGTGCCAGGCAGTCCACATGGATCCTAGCAGTTAGGATTGCTACTGCTTTCCAGAGTACACGGTCAAGTGGTATAGCAGCTGAGGGACTAAGTCACAATTGTAGTACAAGTTTTCCTTGTGCTTCCTATCCAGCACTGGAATAAATGGCCATCTGGGAGAGATTCAGCTTGTGTGTCAGAGTGGTGGATCCTACTTCTGCCACTCATCTGAACAAAGTTTGTTTGTTTATTACTGATACCTTTCCTTTTGGCTCAAGTTTGAAACCTTCCTCCAATCTAAGCAGGTGTCCTCCAATTTAAGAGGCTCTTCTGTTGGAAGGAAGGTTGGATCCACCCCAGCGTTTATATTTTATAAACTTTACCATGCATTTTCTAGTTGTGTTGTATGAATGCAAAGTTGAAGGCAGAGAGGGGTATAAAAATAGGCGTTGTAGAGAAATAGATAAATAATGTAACCATCTCTCCTGCTTTTCACACTATTTGCAGATCGACTGGTTGAGTCAAGCGCTTTGCGGAAAGCAATAGAAACCGTATATGCTGCTTATTTACCCAAAAACATGCATCCATTCTTGTACATAAGGTAAATTAATAAAATAACTTCGCCACTAAAGGCCAGATGGCCAAGAAGCAGAAAGAGGATAATTAAGTGAACTGAACGAGAATAGTCACACACTGACTTATCAAATAGAAACGCAAGTACAAATTGAGAGAGAATTCTAACAATGAAAACAGTGAATATGGGTTTCATATTATTCTGATATTCCAATAATGGTCATCTTGTGCTTGTCCTTCTGGAACACTACAAAATTAGCCAGGATTCAATAGCATTCCTGGACTAGTGGTAGAGCTCAAAAGTGGAGGAGGCCTAGACTCAGTCCCCAGTGTTTCCAGTCGAAGTATCTCAGGTAGCAGATTAGGGGGTGGGTGGGGTGTCCTTTCTTTGCCTGTGACCGTAAACTAAATATTGAGTTGAATGGGCCAGTGGCCTGTCTCACTGTAATGCAACTTCAGATGCTCATCCTGAATAACAACAGCATTTTAATGCATGAGAAATTTGGAAAATGTCGCCTAAAAGCCCTTAAGCACTGCATTTTTTTTTGAGAAGCACAGCTGACCTTGAAATCAATAGGTAGTGTCACTCACTGTGACAGCTCTGCTGCTGAGCTTGCCAACTTGATTGTCTTACATGGTGGTGTTTCAAAAATCTTTTGCAGCCTTGAAATAGCCCCCCAGAATGTAGATGTGAATGTGCATCCTACCAAGCATGAGGTTCACTTCCTTCATGAAGACAGCATCTTGGAGCGCGTGCAGCAGCACATAGAGAGCAAACTGTTGGGCTCAAACTCCTCAAGGATGTATTTCACCCAGGTAAGTGTATGCTTATTGCAAAAAAAGAAGAACAGTTTGCTTTCTTAGTGGCAGGGGGCATACATTTATTCTGCATTCAAGGCTTGCATTTGGTGTGTTCCCAAATGGATGTTGGTGCTCTGTCGGAGAAGCACAGTGGAAGACAGAAGAACAAAATGACTTCCAGGGCCAAACTAAATATTATTGTTTTTAAAGAGTTGGGTCTGGGTTTTGTAAACTGTAATGTTTAGTTCGGCCCTCAGTTGAAAAATACTCGTGAATTCTGCCTTGCTGCTGCTTTATAGCCACATAGTTGGGCACACCCTGGCACATGTCAAGACTGCAGTGTTTTTGAGGATTGTTAGAGGTGAAAGTCTTCCAAACCCTGCTGGAAGTGTGTAGCTAGAGAGCCATTTAAGTTACGGCTCTGCATATGCCTTCAGTATTAGTCAGTGGGTTTTCACAAGGGCACGCTGGTGCTGCAAACCAGCCAATTCCTCTTAGCTGCACAAGTTTTCTAGACTGCACTGTTTTATGACAAATGTGGCTATATGAGAAAACTGATGTGGAAAGAGTTTCTTGATGGTAGGATGTGTAAAAGCCACTTATAGATGACCCTCTTAAGCTGGAAAGAGGTCAAAGAATGTTAAGTATCCATTTATGCAAGCAAGGTAAGCAACAGCTGGTGTAAAGCTATTTCTGTGTAGTTGGTCTTCTACCAGAAAGCCCTAATCACATGCAAAGTGATATCATTGTAGGTGTCCCTTGGTCAGAGTTGCCTGCTTTCGAAGTGATATCATTGTATGCTCATGTCGGTGTCCCTTGGTCAGAGTTGCCTGCTTTGGGCCTCAAACGGTTACGTATGGCATGGCACAGTGCTTTTACAGTGCAGCGATTCCAGAGCATTATGATCTAGCTGAAGATACACACCCCCTTTGTCTTACAACCTGTTGTAACTTCCACGACGCTACTTGCAGACTGGGTTCTCCTTAAATAAATGCAATGTGGGGGGGGGGGTGTGTGGACAAGATGCAAGGTCCATAATCCTCAAATTCTGTAAGGAATTTGACAGAAGAAGAGAAGAGATTGGATTTATACCCCGCCCTTCACTTGGAGTCTCAGAGCGGCTTACAAATTCCTTTCCCTTCCCCTCCCCACAACAGACACCTTGTGAGGTGGGGGGGGTGCTGAGAGAACTCTGGCACAAATTGCTCTTTTTCAAGGACAGCTGTGCCAGAGTTTGTGACTGACCCAAGGTCACATCAGCAGATGCAAGTGGAGGAGTGGGGAATCAAACCCGGTTCTCCCAGATTAGCGTCCGCACACTTAACCACTACACCAAACTGGCTCTCACAGGACAGTGGAGCTGTATTCAGATTAACATATTAATTCAGATTAAGAGGTTTAGAGTCCTAACATTATCACCAGCAAAAAAAACATCTGTCATGTAGTCTACATACTGCAATTAAGATTTTCAGACAGTTCTATTAAATTTGTTGACTTGTTTACAGTCAGGCCATGATTCCCTAGATGTGTATGTGGCTAACCAAGAGTCAGGATAGAACGCATTTCAAGCTCATTGTTTTCTTATTTCTGTAATGATCATACCTAGATGACCTGCCTACTTATCAAGCAATTTACACTACTGAAAAGCAAATGACTGTTACGTAGAAATATGCAGAATGATCACTATAACCAGTGCCTCTAAAATATTAGAAAAATCTTTACTTGTACAAACACTTATTTCGTATGTTAATGTCGATGTCTTAAAAACCTTCTGGGATGGACACAGCCTAGTCTGCCCACTTTTTCATATCTGCCAGTCCCCTTTGTACTCTGGTGGTCCAGTAGAAAATGCCAGCAATGGCCAATCAGGGCCCTCGGAACACTCGGGGAGGGGGAGGGGGGAAATGAGCTGTTCAACTGCCGTTTGGGTCAGAGAGGATTTAGAGGTCCCTTAGGCAGGTTAAGGAGCTGCGGTGACTCAAGTGGTTAAGACACTAAACTGCAGGCTGGAAGGTCGGTAGTTCAGCCGTTCGAGACCTGAGTGCTGCATGATGGAGTGAGCTCCCGTCTCTGGTTCCAGCTCCTGCCAACCTAGCCGTTCGAAAGCAAGACATTGCAAGTAGATAAATAGGTACCACTTCAGTGGGAAGGTAACAGCGTTCCGTGCGCCTTGGTGTTTAGTCATGCCGGCCACATGACCACGGAGACGTCTTCGGACAGCGCTGGCTCTTCGGCTTTGAAACGGAGATGAGCACCGCAACCCTAGAGTCGGATTCGACTGGCTTTCAAGCAAGGGAAACCTTTACCTTTACCTAAGGCAGGCTATGGATCTTGCCCTGTCTCCAGTCACATCAGGTGGAAGTGAACTGTTTAGTGTAGTGCGGTAGCCTAGGGTGACACATATTGATTTATGGTTCTCATATGTACACTTTAATGGTTATTTGACAGAAATGGGGCAGGCTGAGGTCTGCAGTTTTATGGAGTCTCTGCTGAAGTTACAAAATATAATCAACCTGTGCTTGAAAGAAATGTTGAATGGCTTTAACTCCTATGGAAAGAAGTGAGCAAGTGAATGAGGCTCCTGGCCAGAAATGGAACATTTGTGCTCTGTAACTATGAGGTCCTTGTTGGTACAGTCTTCATAATAGGACCTGACACTTTGTTAAACAAGGCTGTGTGATAAAGCTTTATTTTCAATAGCCACTTTGCATATTGAAGTTCTGTGGTTATTTTAGCTACACAGTAACCCTGGTCTTGCACATAAACCCATAATGTCATCTGATGTTGGTTGTACCCGAGTATAACTGTCATGCTTGGAGATCGATTCATGCCGTTCCTGACAAAGCTAAATTGCTTCCATTCTTTCAACCATCTCTTCAACGAAGACATTGCTTCCAGGTATTACTACCTCTTCTGCTGATGTTGTTAAACCTGCAAGCTCTTCTTCAGCAAATCAAGGGATGAGAGACAAAGTCTATGCCCATCAGATGGTCCGCACTGATTCCAGAGACCAAAAACTAGATGCTTTCCTTCAGCCGGCTAACAAATCCAAGACTTCCGGACTTGCTGCAGAGGAAAGCAATAACAAGAAGGCCTACGAGGAGTCTGGACCACAAGATGCTGAGATGGAAGAAAGCAGTGACTTTAATGAAAGAGCTACAGGACCGGAAACTGTGGAGAAACCAGAAGGATCATCAGAAAGACAACGGATGTCTCCTGAAGATACACCTGCTAGGTAAGAATGCTGCTTTGTTCTCTGCTGAATATTGGTTGATTTATACTGCTATTACAGCAGGGGAGGGAAGTGTACTTCCTTGTCCTTCCTTCTTGTCAAACAGTGGTCCAGGCTCTGACTGCTCTTATATGTAGAAAACTAGGTTCCAAAGGAAATCTGTGTTGTTTCTCCTCAGGACTTACTGGCATAATCTGGATCCGTACAACTGGGGGACCGAGAAATGCTTTTGATAAATGGACTGTGAACAATATTCTTGAGTGGGCTTTGTGAATGGAGTTTCTTGAAGGCTGCATAAGCTGGTCTTGAATTCATCATAATTTTCTCCTTTGATAGCTTGTATGCCTTTCAAAGTGGTATAGGATGCATTTCCTCTGTATCTGTATTGCAGAAAGAAACAGCGAATAGATGGTGATATGGAAATGGAGGAAGATGCAAGACGGGACCTGACCGCAGCTTGCACCCCTAGAAGGAGGATTATTAACCTGACTAGTGTTTTGACCCTTCAAGAGGAAATTAGTAACCAGGCTCATGCAAGTAAGCTTATTGCTCATTGGTCCTGATTGCTGTGTTTTTATATGTCTCTTGAACACCTTTCATGAATCTAGAAAAACAAGTTTACCGTCTGTGAATGGCTTGCTACTATTAGCATTTGCATCATGTGTGTTTCTTAGATATATTGGCCAGAGTAGCAGGTAACTCCCTGTCAGCATACTATCATGTATGGGAACAAGATGACAGCCTATAAGGTAAATGATGTAGATCATCCTATCTGGTTGACAGCAGAAGGAGTCATATGATCATGTCACCAGGTCTAGATTGCATCTAAGTTGCATCAGCCAAATGATGTCACCGTGAGTCAGCACTGGACACTGATTGGTGCTGGATGTGTATATATTGTGTACAGTACTTGTAGAGATGTTCACTCTGGTGAATGCCTAGCTGCGGAGCACTCTGTCGGATTGTACAGCGATTTGAGTCTGAGAGTGCTAAAGAGACTGTGTGTATATCTGTGTAAATAAATCCACTGTGAATAGTCAGCACTAGCAACCTAGTACGTGTGATTACTAGACGCTTCATACGCTAACACTCCCTGCTACTCTGGCCATTATATCAAAGAAACGCACTTTATAGGCTAAGGTATTTAAGGTCAGCTTCAGCATTAACAGCTCTGTTTAAAGATATGCATGCCTACGTACTAAACAATTTACTCTTTAGTTAGTCTGCAAGTTGAATTTAACGTGCACCTCCACCAGAATGTCTAGAGTGTTTAGAGGATGCTATGCTGATATTTGATTTTTCTTTATAAGGTATTAACTTGTGTTTGGTTGCTAATGGCCTGCAAAATGTCATCCTGGAAAAGCAAAGCATTATTTGTGTTCTTTGGCTGGAGATGCGGGAACAGTGAGGTAGTTCTGTGTTGTGCAACACTGGGAAGTATTAATGTTGCTCTTGGAGGCTAGATTGCCGCCACATTCTGATGCTGGTTATGAAGTGCTTATCAGTGAAGGAGGCACTAATTGACTGAGAGCATCTTGGCTGCCGCTTGTGCCTAGTTATGGGAGCAGTTCAGAGACATCAAGTTGCATTCTGCTCCCAGGCCCAGTAAATATTTATTTTGAAGGAAAGAAGATAACTTGCACATTCTTCTTGGGGGTGGCTTCCTTTTAACTGCTCCTAACCTGATTTTTAAGTAGACATCCTGTGGACATAGCAGAGTTTTCTTCCAAGCAAAGGCTTACTTGTTTACAAACGTGGTAATCCTTGGAGGCAAGATGTAGCTCCCTGTATATGTAGTCTTAAGCAGTCAATTATTTAATAATAAAGCTTAAATATTAAATCTTTACATGAAAGACGTGATAGCAGGGGTCAGCCAGGTTCGCAGGCCGGTTCAATGGAGTTCTTTGGTTTGAGACAGTTTAAGATGATTTAAGTCCACAAACTTTGGTTAACCGTTTTGATGAAATGGGCTTTCTAAAGATTTGTGGCAGGGTTGCAAGAGCAAAGCACTGGCTGTCTAAATGGGAACATTTTAGCTTAAACCCAAGAAATTCTCAAGAGTCCAGTAGCACCTTAAAGACTAACAAAATTTGTGGCAAGGTATGAGCTTTCATGAGTCACTACTCCTTCAAATACAGCCCATTCTGTACAGCTAAATGTGTCTTCCATGGAGACAGATCAAGATGGGTAGCCGTGTCTCTCTGTAGCAGTAGAAAAGAGCAAGAGTCCAGTAGCACCTTAAAAGACTAACAAAAATTTTGGCAGGATATGAGAAGTGAGCAGTGACTCACAAAAGCTCATACCCCGCCAAAAATTTTGTTAGTCTTTAGGGTGCTGCTGGACTCTTGCTCTTTTCTACTGCTACAAACAGACTAACATGGCTACCCATCTTGTTCTTTCCCCAAGAAATTCTAGTGTGCCTTGTATGAGAATTGCCAAATAATGTATTGAAGACAATTGTAAGAGCAAAGTCCTGTTCAAACATTATATTGTACTAGGAAAAAGGCCCGTTGTGGAAATAAATACAACGGCCTCTAGAAAGAGGCTCTGGGTGGGTGCCCCGGCCTTGGACACTCAGTGTCAATTTGCTGTGGCGACCTCAGCAGGGTATAATAACACTGAGTCCACCATTTTCTCCAGAGGAACTGATCTCTTGCTACCTAAAGAACAGTTGTAATTTTGAGTGATCTCCAGCCCTCACCTGGAGATTGGCAACGATGGTTACCCAGAAGGGAATAGTTGGTTTGGAGGGTGGAATCTATGGCTTTGTACCTGTCCAAGGTCCAACTCCTCCTGAAACCTCACCCTCTCCAGGCTCCATCCCTCGCATCTCCAGGAATTTCCCACCTGGAGTTGGCAACCCTATCTCCTTCCCAGCCAATCATCAACCTACCTTTATTTCCCCTTCACTCTTCAGCTTTCTACCCCCCACACACCTGCAGTCTCTCCCGTGCTCTGAAGCCTAGGCAAAGGCCAATGAGGCTGCATATGCAAATAACCTCTGTGTTCTGACTGGCTATGGGGGGGGAGAGGAACAGCAAAATGTTTAGCAGCCAGTGGATAGGGAGACCCTCTGAATGACAGATCAGAGCGAACTGATTTTGGAGCATGTGGAATGTTCTAGAGAAGTGCCACCACCATTTGGCTTTTATTTATAAGGCAGATTCTCTTAGAATCTGTTATGATCTACACACGTTGCCTGTTGTGGTTTTTTGTGTTCAGCCATTCATGCCAGTTTGGTGTAGTGGTTAGGAGCGCGGACTCTAATCTGGGAGAATCGGGTGTAATTTCCCACTCCTCTACATGCAGCTGCTGGTGTTGACCTTGGGTCAGTTACAAGTTCTTTCAGAGCTGTTCTCTCATGAGCAGTTCTCGAAAGAGCTCTCTCAGCCCCACCTACATCACACAGGATGTCTGTTGTGGGGAGGGGAAGGGAAAGGAGATTGTAAGCCACTCTGAGACTCCTTCGGGTAGTGAAGGGCGGGGTATAAATCCAATCTCTTCTTCAAAGTACATGTATAAATCACTAGTGTGTGTGTGAGAGGAAATTTTAAAAATCTCATGTTAAGGGATTATCACTGCCATTTCTCCCCACTTCATTAGGTGATCAGGCATGCCTAGCCCCATTGAAGAGGGGTGTCACCACTGATGCAAGTTGTAGCAGCTGCGAGTTGAGACTTTACCTCACACAAAGCCTGATGGGCCCTTCAGGCCTCTTAATGGCTTAGTTGAAGATCATATATCTCCAACTGGAACCCCCAAATCACCATGCTGCCAGAAAATAAAATTTTCCCCTTGTGCTTCATCCTGCCTCTTCTTTCCGCAACATCTTCTCCCTTTGACACTCCATTCTGCCTGGGCTTTGGCAGATCGCCACAGATCGATAAAGAACTTTGCCTACTTCATGGGCAGCGCCTGTGCTGGGGGGGCTCTGTCTGGCTGTATCTCTGCCTTACTGACCCAGAGTTATGTCTAACTGTAAAGCTAAATTGGCTTATCAAAAAAATACTACCAAAGATGCAGCCCGCGTCTCGATGTGCTGTAGGTGTTCATTGAGAGCCATTTGGCATCACTGGGCTAAGTTCCTTTGTGGCCAGTCTTGGCTGCTAACACTGATGGTCAAAGAACCATGGAACTACCTGGTTTAGCAGACATTGTGCGTAGTTAAATTCAAACAACTTCTTTCTACGTGAGAATAGCCCTACACACAACAAGGACACTGGATTTTTCTTGGTGGGCATTGTGTTCATTGCGGTTGCATATGCATGATGAATGATACACAGTTCCCACACAGAGTTGTTCACAAAATACACCCTAAGCACAAAGAAAGTCACCATATGCAAATACAGTGTGATGTCTTATCTCTTTTGTATCCTACTTGAAATGCAGTATTTCCACGAAATCCTCAAGGTCCAATTTGGAACCCTTGACAATGTATGAAGAGTGGAGGAAGTATATTCTGAGACGCTTCATAGAAGGAACAGTCTAGGAACAGCATGAGCAGCCAAACGCACGGTTGTTTTTTTTTTAGTGGAAAGAACTGTTGATTGGATTATATGAAATAGGCTAGGTGCTTTAAATTTGTGGTGCCTCAAGTAGCCAAGCTCTTAAAGAGATGTTTGGTCCTGTGAATTGTACTGAACGCAGAAACTTTGTTTCCTTCAGGTCTTCAAGAGATGCTTCACAATCATTCCTTCATTGGATGTGTTAATCCTCAGTGGGCACTGGTGCAGTATCAGACAAAACTGTATCTTCTGAATTCCACAAAACTCAGGTAACAGCCTAAGCAATGTTAGCTATGTTTAGTAAAAATAATTGGCATTTAGCAAGTAATCAGAAATAGGCGCACTATTCAGTGTTGTGGATTGTGGCCACATTTGTAGTACTTGGCTCATTGCACTGAAATGCTAGGGTCGTGCGTTGCATTTAGGGCAAGTGTGTGCTGGTTGTCTTTGATGAGGACACACTTCATGTTAAGGCAATATGGAGAAAGAGGGAATAGTTGGGCATTAGGACCCAGAAGGCATTGGTTGAGTTATAGATGGCTACATAAAACTGAGAACTGAATAACCTTTTGAAAATGTAGATGGGTGCAGCCCATTCTTTAGTTACCTGTGAGGAAGGTGTCAAAATGGAGCTGAGGGTATACGAGACCCAGAAGCCAGTTGAATTCTTCTAGAGCTTGGGATGATGGCACCAGGTGGCCCAGGAGCTTAAGACAGGAGCAAGAACTTTATCTCCTTGCTGTTTACACTGCGCAGACATGTTTTTGGTCATGAAAGGTGGTTCTTTAAAAAACAAAAACAAAATCTGTGCTAGTGATGCTTATGGATTGTCCCATGTTTTTAGTGACTGTTGAATACTTGTGTGTCAGTACTGGAAAATGTACCAACTTCATTGAACAAGTTTGTTTTATGACAAAACATTCTGTGATAGCTGCACTATTCTTCTAAAAGAACCCACATATGCAGTTTCAACTTCTAGCTAAATATCATAGATTCATTATTAGCGTTTGATAGTAAGACTTTCCTTTTTGTAGATGCCCAGTGCAAAGAAAAGAATGTGCATAGAGCAAATTGACTTTTCTTTTCCAGTCAAGAAATGTTCTACCAGATCCTTATTTATGACTTTGGAAACTTGGGCATTCTGAGGTTGTCTGTAAGTATATGCTGCTTGGATCCAAGTTAGCTATTTTAGTGTTACATAATGAAGTGTAGTTTTTCAATTTGTTTGAGGATCACTTAAAAAAAAAGGTAATTAATTGTGATTGATGATTCTGCAGCTGCTGTATCTTGAGTTGTGGTTTTCTTACCAGAATCTGGTTCTTTTCTAAGTACCACAAAGTTATCCTAATTACTAAATAGTTTGGCTAAAAACACATCTTCTATTTCCTTAGGCCCCATAATGTAGGTCTTATTTATGCCTCAGAATTTTTGGTAGGGTTGATTCTGAAGAATGCTATTATGTGCCAGTACATTTATTTCTGTATAGCAAGCTTTAAAATTGAAATTTGTTATAATGGCATGCAATGCACTCAAAAGAAAGGAATACAAAAGTATTCCAAGAAAAACACTAGTTAGTTTGAGAACGCTTTGAGATCGTAAAACAAAATCATAAATCCCTATTGAAAGAAGTGTGTGTGTGTGTTACTATTTTTTCCCCCGTTGAACTATATTGGTTTTCACACTAAATGGGGGAGCCTTTCAAATGATGACATTTAACTCCCCCATGACCAATGCTGCTTAATACAAATTAAATGAAAGAAAGGAAACTTACTAGTTTCACAGTGACAGTTTTGTGGATGCAAATCCAAATCATGGGTTTAAAATTTTTTTTGTTCTGAATGTGTGACGACGTGATTATATTATGTATTTGGTAAATCTAGGAACCAGCTCCTCTCTATGATCTAGCCATGCTAGCCCTGGAGAATACTGAAAGTGGTTGGACAGAAGAAGATGGTCCAAAAGAAGGCCTTGCTGAATACATTGTTGATTTTCTAACAAAGAAGAGTGAAATGCTGAAAGACTATTTCTCCCTGGAAATTGATGAGGTAACTACAGGTTCATTTAAACAAACAAACTTGGGGCAGTTTTGTGTTACAACCATTAACTTAATGGACAGTTCATTTCACAATATTCGCAAAAGGTTGGACAATGTACAGAAAAGGTTTAGGCCAGGGGTGTCAAACATGTAGCCCGTGGGCTAGATCAGGCCCGCAGTAGAACTGGCTGTCTCCTGCTGCTTTTTCCAGTGCTGCTGCTGCATCATAGCTTGCTTTGCCAGACTCTCAGTCTTTCAGGATAGATAGGCAAACTTCTGTTCCCTGTACTGGCTGAGCCTCCTCCCCTTCCCCCTCCCAGAAGGAGAGAGGGAATGAGCCAGAGCTTGCTTCCTGGTCAGGCTGCCTCAATTGTACAAGAGAAAAAGGCAAGCCTTTCTTCCTTTCCATTGGCTGAGGCTCCTACCCAAAGGGAGGGAGGGAAGGAAGGAGAACCTGCTTTGCTTGGCTGCCTCAATTGCATGGGAGAAAAACAAAACAACTTGAAGGCCAACAAAGTTTTATCCAAGGTATGAGGTTTTGTGTGCCTTCCTACTGTGTGTGTGTGTTTTGTTGGGCTTGTTATGCTGTGGTTCTCCTGGGTGCAACTGGGTTCCCTCCCCCTTTTCACTCTATTAATGCCCTCATGATCCAATCTTGCTCAGTAGGAAAGCAATGTGAACTATTTAGATGAGAAATAACAACAAGCCAGTAAGGTGGATTAGGCTGAGAGAGTGTGTCCAGACCAAGTTCACCCAGCACATTTCCTTTGGGAATTTTGAACTTAAACTTCGCAGATAGTAGGCTGATACTTACCACTGAGGAAGACTATAGTTTTGTAGACAAACACATAGCCCTCAGTCTGTGTCATGGTGCCTTCTCATGTTCTGGACCAGCACACAAAGCAATTTATGTACAAAAGCTTGCAATGCCCAGTTATTTCATGTTTTCCCCTGGGTCCTAGGCTCATAACTCTGAGCATGAGATTCAAAAGTAGTTTTGTAGCTTACAGATACACAATTGAACAGCATTTTCAAGATTGCAACAGCACATACATTTTGATGCGATAATTCAGAGCAAGTGGTGTTAGTTACCAGACACTGATAAATAAAATATTGCAACATTAGCACTTGCAACAGTGCTAATGTTTTAAGCATGTTTTTATTTTAAGTAAAAAAACCCTTTGTGATTGTGTCCTTTATAAAGTTTATATTTTGCTACCTGGCATTACATTTTATGACACGCATGGCTTGGCCCAACACGATCTCATTTATGTCAGATCTGGCCCTCATAACAAATAAGTTTGACACCCCATTAGGGAACAGCCGCATATAGAACACATTAAATATTTTTTCCTTGCAGAATTTGAAGTAACTGGAGGACAGCAGAACACCCATAGTTGGTTCTTGTTTTTCATTTTGCTGTGTAGAAATTTTATGTTGGTTCCCATGGACACACTGTGCTAGCAAAGTCTCTTTACGCTAGTAGCACGGATCAGTGGTATCCAGCCCCTTATTTTTTGTCTTTCTATTTGGTAACAGTTGCAATAAACAAAAGAATGATAGTGGCTATGAGGATTCCTAAGAACAATAATTAAAAAACGAAGTGTGACAGCAGGTATATTTTACAAATGTGCAACTTAACTGGTTTATAGCTATTAGCCGGTTCACAATTATGTACTTTTAAGAACACTGGACATTCAAGATGATGAAAAAATACTCTGTTTACAGCATGGGAATCTTACGGGATTACCACTTCTGATAGATAATTACATTCCCTCGTTGGAAGGTCTACCCATGTTGATTCTTCGATTAGCGACAGAGGTATGTTGATGTTCAGCCATATTCACCTGAACAATATTTTCGTATTAACAAATGGATTTGGTCTTCCACCGTGTTCCGTGACAGAAGAGTTAGCAAAAAAGTAGAGGAACTGTTGACTCTTTTGTAATGGCAGCAGCTCAAGCATTGTCTAGCAGAACTGTATCCAAATGTACATAATTTAAATCTCGTTTTGGTAGTCATGTGGAAGAGTCCCCCTCCTACCTGAGACATTTTAGCAGTCTTGTTCTTAAACTGAGAAATAATTGCACAGGTTTACACAAATTCTTTTGCAGAGCCCCTACAAAAATGCTCAGTGCAATCCACTTCCATGTGAATGCAGTCCTTTTATATAACAAGAGATGCCCTAGGAAAATCCAAAATGGACTCATTAAACTAGAACTCAAAACCCTGTTTAAATAGCAGTTCTCTTTGCCCTCCATTCAGGCCACTGAGAAGTGAAGCATGGTTATAGTTCCAAGTGGTCAGCTGTGTTGGTCTAAAGCAGTAGAACGAGTTTAGTGGCACCTTTAAGACCAACAAAGCTTTACTCAAGGTATGAGCTTTCATGTGATTGCACACTTTTTCAAATACATAGGAATGGAGCATGGTTTTGGAGATGCCTCCCTGTGGGGAATGCTCACTTAGAAATGCTTGCCACATGGAGTCTAGCCATTGTATTTCAGACCTCCAGCAAAAATGGGTTGCTTACCTGTAACTGGTGATCTTCGAGTGGTCATCTGTGCATTCACACCCATGGGATCTAGTGCGCATGTGCTGGATCGAACAGCATTGTAGCAAGCTTAACGGATTTTCGCGCCCAGACCTCGGACATGCACAGGAACCCCACCGTGCATGCCCAGAGGGGTGGGCGTGGACATCCCACCAGTTTCTTAGAACTGCTGCAAATCAACCCCTATGAAAATTGTAGAAGCTGCACACTAGATCCCATGGGTGTGAAGCACAGAGACCATGTCGAAGATCTCCATATTATGGTCAAGCTCCAGTATGTATCTGCACACTGTGACCCCTTCTCTGGCTTTTTTGACAAGCTCCAGCTTAAGCATTTGAGCTGGTGCTGGGTTGATACTGTAAGAGCTGAGCCTCCCCTAGAAAGGAAAGCAATTAAGTATTTTAAAGCATGTAGATTGCCCCTATTATAATATATGCTAAAATAAAAGGATTTCTTTAAACACACATGCAATTGACTACTTAAACTAGCCTACAGCAGTATTTTTCCACATATTCTTTCATCAGGTAAACTGGGATGAAGAAAAAGAATGCTTTGAAAGTCTCAGTAAGGAATGTGCCATGTTCTACTCCATTAGAAAGCAGTATATAATGGATGAGTCTGATCTTAATGGTCAACAGGTACTGTACTCATTGGCTGCCTTTAACAGATGATAGGGTAAAAAGATTATCCTGTTGTATCAAAACTGCATCTTGAAATCCTACTAATGATGCAGTATTGTGGAGTTTGTAAAGGTTGACTGAACAGAGAGGGTGGGTTGGTCCCATATCTAGAAATAAAAGTGAAGTGGGTTTGCATTTTTTAGTAAAGGATCTATGTAACTTTCTATATGACAGGCCCTAGTGGCAGTCATATTTACTCTTGAGTAAGGAAGAGTAATGTCACAGTAGCTGAAATACCTAAATATTTTTACAGGCTTTGGGTGTAATACCTTTCACAAGCTGGATATCACAGTAGGAAAAGATAACTCAAGAACGGAAATATTAGCTTTTTATGCTCTTAAGGAAACACCAGTACGCATATAATAAAGATTGTACTATTTGATGTTACAAATATTAAGACATAACTTAAATGCATGGCATTTACTTAAATTTAAACTTTTTAAAAACATTTTCAGGCTGATGAATCGGGACCTAGCACACACTCGTGGAAATGGACAGTGGAACATGTGCTTTATAAAACTTTTAGGACATATCTTATGCCTCCTAAGAACTTTACAGAAGATGGAACCATTTTGCAGCTTGCTAATCTGCCAGACCTGTACAAAGTCTTTGAGAGGTGCTAAATACAGACATCTGAATAAAGGCCCACATCTATTTATTGTTAATAAATGGACAAATAAATTTGTCAATCTGTTTTTATACCAGTCTTTCTCCAAGCAGCATGGGATGGTGTATGAGAACGAAGAAATCTAGATTTCAGTTCTTAGTTGAACTGGCTGCTTCCCATGATATACAAAGTTCTGTGGCAGCCTAACTAAATAGTTACAATGTGGTATGTAAATTCAGAAGTTCTGCATATTCTCTTGATGCAGCGAGGCTTGTGTAGCAGCTCACAAGGCATCTGATGAAATTATCACACTAAAATGTGAGTAAGCCCATGGAAAACAGATTTACCAAATATCTTGGATTGCAATACTTATTAAAAACTCAAATACTCTTGTCTTCTGTGCAGATTTAGATGCGTTTAACTATCTGCTTCAGCTGACCTGGGAGCATTATCTGGACACAGCTCTGAAGCAGTTCAGCCACTGAACTTAATAAAATCAGAGGTAACAGAATCCTGCTGCGAAGTTACATGGGTATTTTAGCAAGTTAATTCCTATGTGAACAATTAATTTACACATTTGTATCTTAATGCACAAGAAATAATCTTAAAGTAGAAGACATAACCAGACTTAGCCAATATAACTTTTGGTAAATAAAGTGTCCATTTAATAAATTTTTCTGCCACATTTTCCCCACCCAATGTTTCACTCCACCCTTAAGTAGATCACACCAGGTTTTACAATGTACAACAAAAAAAAAACCCAGTTACTACTCTTTTGTTAAGAGCAGCTGGGGACAGTACTTTCAGGAGTCAAGAACTCAGATGTGCATCACCCATGCAACAAAGCAAATTTTATACAGTCACTTCTATTTTATATAAATTTAAATATTTTACAAAAGTGTCTTCCATCAAAATGTATAAAGTTTAGCAAACAGACCCCAAGATGTATCTTAAAATAAAACATTATGCAATTCCAAAGGTTTTTAATATAATCACTGAAGTCTACATTGCACCATATAGAAGGCACTTGTGCCGCGTGATGTCTTGAGCACGTAATTGGTTAGTTTGTAATGCAGCATCCTCTTCAATCCATGCAGTTGTTTCCAAGAACCAAGCATTATTAAAGCAGTTGGAAGTAGTTCAATGAATAAACTTGATCTCACAACTGTGAAAATAGTTTATAGCAGATTCTAGGATTAAGATGCTAAAAACTCATCATTCACATAGAAATTCAAATTTTTCATTCTCTCAGGTTACAAAATATTCACCACTTAATTATGAAACTAAAACTCACTGAAAAGCTCAGTGTTTGAAGTTTGTGCCAAAGAAAGTCTGTATTAAAACAAGCTAGGGGGAGTTATTTCAAGGAGCAGTGCATAATTGTTTTAAATTCCTTTCTACTGTTGAGATAAAAGTGCTGATCTGTTTGCCTTCATCTTCTCCAACCTTTTTACTAAGTGGCTGTTGGTCATCTCCATCTCTTCTGCCCTGTCCAATGCTGTTCTTAGCTTAAAAAAAAATAAATATATATACATTAGGTATATAATGCATGTTCGAGCATATGTGCAAAACTGTCTTAAATCACCATAAAGGAAACATTGCAGTGTCAATAAGGAGCTTTTTAAAAACAATCAAGGTCCAGAAGTTTATTCTAAAACAACCTGTCAGTTCAGCCATGCCCCTTTGCTGCACATCTAGGGCTAAATTCAGAGTTGGACATCAGAAAGATGAGATCTAATTTTAAAATAAAAAAGGGTGCAGATAGGGAAATTTCTGTTTCTGCCATCCATGTACCCTTCCGTTATTAAATTGGATCTTCCCCTTCTGGGTTTATAAATTACTTTGGCAGGTTCAGCTATAAGCACACAAATCTGGCAGTATTACATCCAACTTGGCTCACCAGGACTGGAAATCTGTGGCTGACTCTGACCTCATTGAGTTTCTAAACAAATGCATAATAAACCTGGATTCCTCAGTGTGAACTTTTGAGTCAAAGGATAACATCTGCTTAATGTGCAGGGGATTAAAGAGTCAGGGGCTACAGATAGTAACCCCCCCAAATGCAAGAATTGTTGCTTTTTGATCAGATACAGATCAAGGGATTGGGAACTCCTGTCCTAGCAACCCATTCTCTTTCCACCCAGAAAACTGGAATAAATGTCAGCAGGAGGAGTGGATAAGAAAACTAACCAGCCAGTGTACAGTAAAGCTACAAAAGCAAAGCAACAGCCCAGAGAGGGACAAAATTGCCCCTTCAGTTTACTACCTCTGAAAGACCTTTTAATGGAACTAGTCATTTTTAGTTCAAGAACCCACAAACATGAGAATTCTCCCTTGTGAGGCATATGATCTTCTACAGAATTGTTTATATAGGGTTGAATCTAGTGCATAATTGACCCTTGCACTAGAGCTCTTGCAGAAGTGGAAACACATGAAAAAGACCACAATAACATTGTATCCCCACTTACATTTCCACTTGTGCAACTAATTTTTAAGCACTATACAGGGAAGAAAGCACTAGGTTTTGCACAAGTGGAATTGTGCTAAGACTGTTTTCATGTGCTTATCACTGTATCCAAGCCATAGTTTTGTTAGCAATCTTAAAACACATCAATGAAAGGCAAAATATAAATCTAACAAACCTAAACTGCCCAGCCCCCCCCCCCCCCCGCAGAAGTTCAACAGCATGAAGGACAGGAATTTCTATTCCTAAATAGTACCTCCTTGGCCTGGTGCTAGCTTAGGTAGAAGCTTTTGTGGAGGCAATTCCCTGGGCACAGATGCTTGAAACACATAAGGCAGCATCCTTCAGGCAGAACTTTTTTCATTTTTATGCAAAAATAGTCCTGCCTCACCTTTAAGTATAGAAAATAGTCATTAACATTTTTTATGATTTGCTCACGCAGAGAAAAAAGAGAATTACCTCTCGCTGAAGTTTTCTTTTTTCTGCTTTGAGTTCATCTTCTACTTTTTCCGCATTCTCTGCAGCAGTTTTGTATCTTAATACTTGTCCTTCTAGTCTTAAAATCTGAAAGACCAAACAGGTTTAGAGCAATGATTCACTGAACTTCCCATATGTGAGTGGAGTTCACATTTTCTGTCCTTGCCTTATATAGCATTAAAACAAGGACATGGAAATTGGTTACAACCGTGGTAACCAGTTAGGACAAAGTATTACAAGTGTGCTGAGAGGAATACTACCTCAGAGCCACAAGGTATGCCAATAAATTTGTCTATCAGAATTCACGTGAATTGGAAGGTGGCATCATATATATGAGCAGCCGTATGTACCTCACTCTTCCCTATTCCAAGACGTAACACAATGAAGCAATTCTTTTGTCTTCCTTTTTTCAGCTGGAATGGTATATGAAACTTAGTTCATATCTGCCCACATACCCACCAACAGGGGGGGAAAAATCTACGTCCTGCCTCCCTATTGGCACGGTGGGAATAACCCATGCAGATGTCCTCCTTTCCTCAGAGGAGAAGGACCCTTCACGGTAAGTGACCAATGGTCGTTCTCCTGTATAAGGATGGACCCATCTACAGAGCCGCTCCTCCTCAGGACCATAAAGTCCTGTCACTTGTTTGTGGAAGAAAAGGATTAGCACACTGGCAACAGGTTATAAAGAAGAATGATAGGGAGATTAAAAAGAGGTGTATCTGCACAAACACCTATATGTATGTACCAACTCTTCCATGTCTTAAATACCTACATTTTGTTCTGACGTAGTTATATCCTGTTCAGCTTTTGAAAGTTTAAATTTGTATTCACTTATTTGCCTGTTGGCATCTCCTAGATAAAAGGGGGAAAAACAAAAACAAATTAAACATCAAATTCCTGGACATTATGTAGGTTACCACTTCAGTTTGGGTAGTATGTTGGGCTTTGTATTTTTGGTCTGAGTTGTGAACTTCTTTTTAAGGGAAAACACTCATTAGTATCCGTTTCAAAAGTTTGAGCCACATACAAAGGCTCCAGCTTCTTTAAGAATTCAGCCAATTTAGACTGAAGTTGTGATAAAATTTGATAAATACTTTGTCTTGGAAAGTTGGAAAATGAAGCTATAATCTCTAGCATGTGGTTTTTTTCAAGAATTAATGGTAAAGGTTTTTTTCAAGAATTAATGGTAAAGGTCATTAGAGGAAATCACTGGGTTCCTTTGTAAAAAAAACCAAAACAAAACCCAAGAGAACATTTCCCAGATTTGTAATCTTTGAGGCATTCTAAAATACCCTGTTTATGAGCCATAACCTCCCTCATTATGCACTAGTTACAGGTTTCAGGTATAACGGATGAGTGTATAAGGGACTTCCCTAACACAAAAATGAAAATTATGTTTTCTAATTCATTTCCAAATGGCTACATTCTATGTAAAATGGATAATCAAAATCTTAGCTCTGGTTCAGGACTAATGTGACATTGTACCTAGACAAGTTTTATAGGGATATAGAGGACAACATACGCACAGGTATGTGACAACATGCATACACCACCGGGCACATAAGGAATTCATTATCAATTGTAGCTTCTGAATGCATGTCGACACAGCAAATAAGCCCCTGCAATCTGTATATGACTACAAATTTCATCTAAACTGTTCAGACAAAATGTAATTTGTGATGAAGCTCTTGATGAATATATAAAACAACTGGAACATGAAATTCACAGGAATTTTACTGGCGGGCCTCACCTGTTCAGTGGTTATTTAGTGCTGGGTACCATCTTTATTACAACAGTGATTTAACCACATTTCCAAAAGTGTGTAAATGTTCCTTCTCTCACTTAATTTCACAGCTTCTCTGTGAAGTATTTAGGAAGGATGATAAGGCCAGGGAGTTTCAAGGCCCAACAGGGTTTTGAACCATGCATGGTCTCTTTGTATTCCTCCTTACATTTCATATACTGGATGACCTTGGCACAAAGTTGCAAATCACTTTGAACACTGAGAGCTAAGATAGAAACAAATGTTTTTCCAGACATGATTGTTCCTACCATAAGTCCTCTTTGAATGTAGAAAAAAGTGTCAGTTTCTTCACAAATGTATGAAATTGCAGATTGACAATATACATACTCTGCATTTCAATTAACTGCAAATCAGAACCGTTTTCCAATCCTGTTATATCAGTATTTGTGCCATCATTTCTAGAAGACTGTCGTGCCTCTTCCAACTGTAACTTGAGTTTTTTAATCTGAAATCAAAATAATGCAATTAACAGTTGTGAGTAGCCTACCACTGTTCTATTTTTATCTGACAAATCCATTATCACCAGCAATTCTTTTATTTTTATGGTCACACCAATTCCCAACCTTAAATAACGACCATGAATTTATCTGATTAAATTTTCTAGAATGCTACTGCTGTTCTCAGATGATGTAGATAGTCACAGGTAAACAGATTGTTTAAGATGCAAAACACTAGCATCACAGTTTAGCAGCAGTAGTGATCAGTTGTTTCTACTGGCCAATGTAGGGAA